ATTTAGCGCATCCCGGGACGTTGATCGCTGTGTCCACGATTAATCGAAGCACTATACATAAGCGAAGCGTTAACGATACGACGATAGTATTAAATTTATACACACATACGGATTACACGTGCGTAAACAATTATACACACAAATTATACACACACCCCCCCCATACACAAACATCCCATAAACAAACGTACGCATACATACATATACACTTGAAGCCGGACGTGTCAGTTCCCGAGATTTGCGAGGCACCCTTTTTTCTTTTTCTTTTATTTTCTTTTTTTCCTTTCTTGCTCCCTGATCGCGCTGGCGTACCTCATTGTGTTCATCGTCGATGATCGGTGCCTAACAAAACGAGCGGAGGATGGAAATCGTTGATTGATAGAGAGAAGGAGCAAATAGATCGATAGAGAGAAAGGTGCAAAAAGTGACGAAATGTTTTAGAAACATGCGTCGGGAAAGGGGTGTATCTAAAACGCGAGAGGGACGTGACACGTCCGCGCGCGTGGTATTGAAGGAAGAAAAAGGAATAAACATATAAAAAAATTATACACGTATGTAAGTAACTTTTAGAGTATTTGAGTAAAAAAGAGGCATACATAGTTGATAGTGTTTTATTAAATGTTGTGAAAAATGTCTTTCGTCTGTCTGTCTGTCTGTTGTCTAAATGTCTGTCGTCTCAGTCTTTATGTTCTTGATGCACGTTTAGCGTTAAATAGGGCTGAACTGTTCTCTCCTCAGATTATTTAAGAGAGCTTGAGAATTTAACAGACAAGAAATATTATCTTTCTAATCAGACACACATTGTTATTCAAATCAGGAACCAAATAGTTATATTTAACGCTAAGAGAGTGTTATCAGAACATCTGTTTGTTTGCATTCAAGAAAGATGTTCTTATCCATCCTTGTCCTCTTATTCCAACATGAAAACTTTTCTTCTTCAATACTTGTATTATAACAAATTATCCTGAAGTTGGCAGGTAATTTTGGTAATTGGTTCTCTCATTTTGGAGAAAGCTCTTTTGTGGCTATATGATCTGCTCACCAAGAAATTGTCTTGAGACTAGGAGAACTTAGATCCTTTCGCTTTTTAGGTTTAACTATAGAATTGTTTTCTATTGTTTTCTCCGGCAAATCTTCAATAAAATCGAGAATATGTAGGATGAGGGTACCTGAGAGTCAAACCCAAAAGTCGTTGATTACAAATCAGTCGCTTTCACGCATCATTTTCAATTCTTTTTGATGCTTCGTTTTCGTCTAGTTTAATGATTTTTAAATAACTTGAATTATTGAATTTTTTATATCATTTATTATTATCGTCAGAGTTTCATCACTTTTTGAGGAATTAATATTATAATATGATAAAAGACATTCCTATAAAAAAAATAAAATATAGGCTGAATAAAATTCACGAATACAAAAATATGTGCAAAGAATAATATTTACAGAAGAAAAATTAGAAAAAGTCGTATAATATTAAAAATATCATAGATAAAATAGTGCAATCCTTAATTCTGCAGTGCACAAAAAATATGTGGATCCAAAAATGGAGAAGCTGCTGTAGCAGTCGCTCTATTTTCTTCAGAAAGCAGCAACAAAAGTGGTATAGCGATTCTAAACATGGCGCGTGAAAACTCTCTCATCATGAACGTTAAACGTGGAGCACAACGTGGAATTTAAGGAAAGCAGAGAGAATCTCCAACTAGACCAATAAAATGGTAAGATTTTGCTGCAAAATGCGGAAATATGCGAAATTTTTTTAGAATAAAAGTGTGCGATCCATTTATAATAATGGTTATAAAAATTGTTATGAAAATTTTGAAGTATATTTTAGATTAGAAAAATAATTTTTTATTTATTTATTTGAGAAATTTTAATTTTTTTGGAAAAAGTTTTAATTCTATTTATTCATTTTTAATCTTTAACGATTTCAATTAAAACTTAAATTAAATTCATTTATTTAAAAGTCCGTTTAAAATTATTATTTTTCATTTAATTTCCCACAAATTTTAAGTTCTTTTTTCTAAATACTTGCATAAGATTTTAATTATTTTTACAATTACAATAATCTAATTAATTTTGCAAACCCTAACATTAGATATCCCGATATTTAAAATTTTGTCAAATTGAAGTTCTCACGTTTTTAAAATTTTTTCTCCAAAACTAGGCACCATTTTAATAAAAACTTAATTTAATTCGATTATCTTAAAGTCTGCTATTATTAATATTAAACATCTCGACAACATTTGGATTAAAAGTCTGTCAGTCAAATTGAAATATTCCTAAAATTATAAATAAAATTTTTCATCCTCGTCGGCTTTAAGATTTTTTCTCCAAAACTAGGCGCCATTTTAATTTCTCAGCGTCAGGCTTTGAGGCTCATCGATCCGTCCCTGAAAACCCTCTCCTCAACAAAGCCGAGGGGAGCACCTCCGTTACAACAAATGGCGGTACCGTCGTAAGTACCTGCTCCCCACCCCGTATCTCGTCATGGTGGGAAAAAGTCCGTCACACACCGGTACACATCTTCGACGGGACGGTGGTTGCCACACTTGCCACACAGTCGCACACCGAGGTCTGACTCGCTAGGGAAGCTCGGGAATCCAAACGGTTGGAAATTTTCCCGGCACGTCGTGGCTTGGGTTCGAGTCCCCCACGGTCCCGCCTTTATACATTTTTCCTTTCGCAATCTCAAGAGCGGGGACCCTGTGTGGTGGTGCCCCGATCCCCCTGTACCGTACCGCACCGTACCGTACCGTGCCGTTCCGTTCGCGGGGAACGGCACTCGCTCGCTCGCTTGAGAGAGAGAGAGAAGTCGCCGCCCGTCCGTCCGTTCGTTCGCGTTCGTTTGCGAGCGATTCGTCTCGACGTACCTGAAAGTATCGGAAGTGCAATTTCGGAGTTCGAAGATCGCACAGTGTGGATCGTAAAGTGAGTGAAATTTCAAGGGGAGGTTCAGAGCGAATGAGAGAGAAAGAAAGAGGGAGAGAGAGAGAGAGAGAGGAGCGACGACGTGCTCGGAGGTGTCGTTGACGTTTGGTGTGTCAGTGTCCTCTCTCGGGCTCTCTCGCGCCTGCACTTATCGCATTGCTCTCCATTTCTCTCTCTCTCTCTCTCTCTCTCTCTCTCTCTCTCTCTTTCTCTCTCTCGCTTGCGCTCGCTCTGGCTCTCCTGAGAGTGCGAAGGGAGCGTGGAAGTACTTCGCAAGGGTACTCCAAGAGTGACTATATATATCGCAGAGACATAGTTTATATTTTATTCCTGAAACCCGAAAGTACTTCTCTTCAGATTCCTGCAGTTGTCTCTTTCTTTCTTGACGTGATACCTAAGATATCCCTATCCGGCTACTATAATTCTATGTCCCTAGAGATCACTATAGTCTTTATCGCTCTATCCACATAACTGTCCTTCTCTTTTCCGAGAGTCTAGTGAATATGTTGACAAACATAATTCAAATATGATACTGTAAAATCTTCGGAGAGAGGCTTATCTCTCAACTATTATTATTATAGTAACTTGTTTTTTTCTTTTACATATATTCTTTCTCTATATATTTATATAGCCTTATCTGAGTATTATAGCCGATATCATTATCGCAATCTCTATTTAACTATTACTTTTATAATTCTCAACTATTATCCTTTAACTATTATTATTCGCTATATATTTTACTTTTTTTAGCATGAATATGTTAAAAAACATAATTCAAATATGATATTATAGAATCTTAGAAAAGAAAGTTATCATTCAACTACTATTATCATAGTGTTTCATTTTTATACTTCCTCAACTATTATTATTTATCATATAGTTCAAATATGATGCTAAAATATTTTACGAGAGAGTTCATTAACTATTATGTATCATTAACTATTATGATAGTATTTTTTCTCTTTTTTGTATATTATTTTTTATATATCCAATTATTATAGACTGATATTATTACAGTTTCAACTGTTCTTCCTATAATTCCTCAACTATTACTATTCAACTATTATTATTTATTTTCTTTTACTTACGTATTTTGTCCGATTACTAATATTATCATAGCAATTTCCATTCAACTTACTTCTTTAATTCTTTAGCTATCTATTCAACTATTGTTATAGTGTTCCTCTTTTTCTTGTGAATGTGTGGTCTATACAGATTCTATCTGATTATTATCAAAGCTGATTATTATATCATTATTGCAGCCTCTTTCTATTTAACTATTGTTTCTGCAATTTCTCAACTATTATCCTTCCACTATTATTATTCATGATATAATTTAAATTTTATATAACTGATTATTTCACTTATTTCACTAAAACTACAATCGTAATGTCGCGTCTAGCATTATCGTTAGTATTTCTAATGCTCTACTTCTACTATTGAATCTTTCATTGTGCCAATTAAAAATTTACTATCAGTGTTCACGGATAAATTTCTTCATCTAAGTTAGTATTTTTATTAGTTACGTGTTTATATTATTCTTTCAAACATATCTTCTCATTCTACTCATATTTTCACATTTCGTCCCTTTTTTTGTCCTCATTTTTTATCCTCGCATCACAAAAATGTGACAAGTATATAAGAGGGTCCTCTTCAATATATTTTTCCCTCTCTTTTCCTTTCTATTTTTCTACTTCACTTTCCACTTCGAGACGACTAAATCCGTAACAATCCTTACTATCATCCTTCCTCTCTTTCTTTCCCACTTTCCATTCCCAGCTCCGTCACTTCATTTTTCCTTGAAAAGTGGTGTTTTGTCCCAGAAGAAGCGGACAGTCTTAAAAGGAGGAGAAATTATTTCGGCGTCGTACGGCGCGATGCTGGATGACAGATTAGATCCGGAGCGGTTATCACAGGTAGAGTCCCTCGGGAACGATCCCGTTTGGGGGGCAGGCCTCGGCGCAGAATGACGAGCGTCGTCGGCTCGTGCTGTTGCTGCTGCTGCTGCTGCTGCCGGAAGCGAAGCCGCGAAGAGGAGCAACGAACAGCCCGGCGACGAAGACGACGACGACGAGCGACGAGTTTGGGTCCCTCTAGCGCCAGTGGGGGGCTATGAGCACTGACAATGGGGACGAATCCTTGGTAATTATCGTGCCTTTCTCTTTTTTTTTTTTTCATCGCCCCCGCATCCCTTCCACTGTTGTTTTCCACTATCCTTCGGGTAAACGCGTTGAGCGACTTTTCCATCCGTCGTACGTTTATGCGAGCTGTGTGTTAAGTTATACTTTGTATTGCGTCGTTTGAGGTTTTACATAAAGGCTACGATGACATCTGATTTCTTTCTCTCTTTCAGTTTTCGATTTTTTTTTGCATTATTTCCTCTTTTTAATTAATTTGGAAACATTATTCCGCTTTTTTTTAAACATTAAGAGTGTCGTTATGTACAGGAAAAATGGTTTCGTTAAAGTATTTAAAAATTCATCCAGATATATTAGGTGTTGGAATTAATTCGTAGCGTTTTACAAGTGATAGGAAGTACTTTCATTAATGTATTTTTTAATGCTCATGTGAAATAAATAACATTCTTTCATTAAAAAACGCTACGAATTAATTCCAACACCTAATAGATTTGACAATAATTTTGCGTGTACCATCTAAATAATTATGTTAGATTCAAGCTGATTGAAATGTTAAAACTTTCTATAGCAACTTGTCATCCAGCTTAAGCGTCCCACATAATTATTTCGATGACCCAATAAAATTATTTTCAAATCTGTACTTAACTAAATCTTTTTGACACTTCTGTGTATGATTTAAATTATAGAAGACATAAATACTTTACGAAAAATATAATTACACGAAACTATCGAGTGTTTTGATATATTCGAATATTAGTTTATTCTGCGATCTTTACTTACTATTAATTTCTATTTCATCAGAATTTTTCTGACGTAATCAATTTATATATATCACTGTATCTAGTTTTCACGGCTTTGAAAATACGATAATGTATTCTAAGCTCACACTGCTCGTTGTTTTCTTCCTTCTCTCTTCCGTCTCTCTCTCGCTATCGCCTGGAAGGATTGTGGCTGGATTTGAAAGCCCGTTTCCTGACGTAACGCGGTCACGGATCGTACGTTTTCGTTTCCGGAGGTACGACGCTTGAAGACGTGATCGATAAAGACTATTTTCTGACGAATTATTTTACCACTATTTCTTTATTTCGGTGCAACTCATCTGAAAGTCTTAATAACCATCTAATAATTTAATAATTACAAATTGAGTAAATCACAAGTAGAAAATTAATTATTTAGATATTATTTCTTTGTATCTCAGAAAATCCTGAAAAGATCGGCAAAGTTTTATCGCTCAAATTTTTCATGCCTAAATAAATAATGTTTATCTTTCAAAACTGACGTACTTTGTACTTAAGAAAACATTCCGGAATTTTTGTTGCCCCAAAGGATTCTAGAAGAATTAAGAACTTCCCGAAATTTCTGGGAGCACAAGAACTGCTGCAAAACATTTTCGGAGCATCGACAATCTTATAAATTTTACAAACCCAGAAAAATTCAAGAATCTCTGTATTAATTTACATAAAACAGACAAAAAATAATTTACGTAAAACGGAGAAGTTTCAAATTCTTTGCATAATTCTTGTAAAAGTGAGATGAAGAGAGTACAGAAAATTTGATCTACAGGCATTCCTTCGCAGCTAATTAGGCCCTAATCAAGCCGAACCGAGAACTTGACAGTCGATCAGCTTCGCTAATCGATTTCTACCTTCACTTCCGCCGTCGCTTTTCAGCGACGTTTACTCGTGCTGAATGCGACATGCCTCGAAGCTGTCCAACTTGTATCTTTACTGCATATCGGTCATGTAAAGCGATAGAACGCCAACCATGTTGATGTTAAGTCATTTAAACCAGGATTAAATCCACATCATGTTGCTGTTGATGTCAACCCTACATTTATTAAGAGACGATTATAGAATCCCTTTAAAACAGTTTGTTCCACTACACTTTAAAAAATATGGACGTAGAGAGTATTAAACTCATGGTATTAAATTAAACCCATGTTGGTGTTGATGTCGTCAACACTATGGCTGGTATTTACAGTCAGTTCTTATTTTTCAAGACCGTCTTAAGTAATGTTTTAAAACGCTAATGCGGTCCTCTGATTGGAACTTAAAACGGTCTAGAATCTAAGAACTGATTATGAATACCGGCCTGAAAATTATATATATAAATATCGGTATGATGTTAAATACACATCCCTACTTTTTAGAGTACAAAAGGCGTCCTTGGTACTCCTCGCGAACTTCTCCATCTCGTTTCGCAACTTTCATGCAATTTGTTGAAATTATACACCCAGTGCTATAACTCTCCTCGTAAATCGCAGTTTCAAGTCGCGTCGCTCGGTTTCCACATAACTTCGACTCTCCCTTATCTTTCGTGCGCATCGTAAAGGAAATGTCAAGGATCTCGCGTGTGCGAGGTGTCAGTCGGGCGATTCCCCAATGCAACGCTTCCGCGATGACGGTCGACGTTAATGGGCAGAAAATTACGGTACCGATATATCACGTTTGTGCAATCGTCACCCAGGTGTCCCTCGCTGGCCTGACATTGAGTCTTGACACGCCGTCACGTTTCCACGAACGTTATCGACGATTATCGCGAGTCCTTCGGCACGCCCGTGAAACGTCCTTATCAACGTTCGTCGTTCGCGATAGATTCTCCTGGATCAATATCTTCGTTTGTCCTCATTCGAATCAATCGAATAACGTTCAGGATTATCACCGCAGCTTCTATCAATTGAAAGTATTTCTCTTTCAAAGGAAACGTGACAAAGTTGAAGATTAGATATAAAGAAGTTTTTAACGAAGAATTTGAAAAAAAACTTTTCCATATCTAATCTTGCAACTAGAGTAGTTTCATTCCTTGAACTAGCCTTAACATTCAAACGTAGTCTTGTTTCTTGAACGTTTCCGTGAACGTCTTTTATAAGACTCTCAGTTTGTGTAAAAATAGAAATACTAATATGATAATTAATAGAAGAAAAGGTGTTAATGTGAACCTTACTTAAAATTCTGGATATAGATAATTAATATCATCTTTTATAAAATGTTTTTAATTTATTCTTAATTAAATAATAAAGTTACGAAACAATTGTCACGGCCACTTTCTGTTGACAATTGTTTATCCATTATGAGATATGTCATTATTCTTTGGTATGATTTTTAATGTCAAGTTTAACGTGAGAGTTTATAAGTAACGAATTTGTAATCTAAATTAATTTTTAAGGCGCTACAGTAAATTTGTGATGAGTTCAATATTATCGCTGGGATATAATTTTAAATATAAATCTTGTTAACGTTTCTATATTGAGTTTCTTAACAAGTAAATAATACGCGTCCCAGGATTTTTAACGAAAAATATTGCAGGAAGTTGTTTTCCTTTATAAATTTTTGATTATTATTTTAAGATGATTTTAAGAAATATCCTTAGAGGGGAGTATTTGGACTTTATAAAAAGTCCAAATAAACCTGAAAAAATCAGATAATCACATCATAACATCCTTTTTCATTTAAACAAACTTTTCCCATTTTGTAAATTGTCTTAATCATTTCAAGTGCGTTTTGTATTAAATTTCGATTAATAAATTTAATTTGCAATTTCATTAATTAGGTTAGATTAGAATACAATTAAAAAATAAAAAATTACATAAAAAAGAAAATGGGAGTCCACATTATCATTTTATTTCTAATCATTACAATATAAAAATTTCTTACAGATTGAATATTTTTAATTCAAAAACGTTTAAAATTTGATTACTGTGTTCCGAAATTCGATGATGACTAATTTTTATTCTGATATTTCTGAAAAAATCAATCCCAGCGAAGAGGTCTTATTGTCGGATTCTATCGAGCCTTCGCATTTCCTGGTGATCAAAGCGATCGACATATCGTTCTCATTCCTATGGGACAGACAAGTTGCTTCGTCGCTCTGGAAAAGTTCCGGCAGCGAACTGGAAAAGCGCGACTAGTTCCAAATTGGGAATCTATTCCTAGCTGGTCTATCCGCTCCGATGAGCCGAGTATTGCGAGAGGCCTGAGACGCTTACGGGAATGCAAAGTAATACGTGTCAAGTCTAACGAGGCGCGTCGTGGAATGTAGACAGGAGGCGAAGGAAAACATGGTGCAGTGTGGGAAAAATTAAGGCCGGATCGAAATATAGTAAAGATTAGAGCTTAACATGTGTTCTCCAAGATAATTGTCTTCTATTGTTCAAAATCCGTCAAGAGGCAGATATCTTCAGATAATAACAAAGAAATAAACAATTACAGAAAGATACACGATATCATTACTTTTTTTTTTGATTATTTTTATTATACAATTAAGGACACCGCACGTCTTATACTTAATTAATAACATAATGATGCAGTTTCCAAATTAAGCATCAAGTGTTGCGAAAATTAAATATAATCTTACATCTTGAACGGTAGATTTTCTTTCATAATGTTGCACGAAAACTAATTGGTACCTATAATGCAAACATTACATGTATAAAATTCTAATCTAAACATATCTCATTTAATTGATTATTATTAATTTATTATAGTAATAATTTAATTACACTATTAATCTGTTAATAATAATTTAATTATTAAATTACAAACAATTCTTTAACGCTCTTAACTTCCTAACAAATTAATAAATAGTATCCAGGTCAACAATTAAACGAGCTATAATTAGATGTGACAAAGCAAAATTTATTATTTCACAATATATTTTTCCGATACATTTTTCGACTATACTTAGTCCTTATTAATCGCAGAAATATAATTATCCCTTATAACAAAAATTAAAATAACATATTTAAAGGATCATCTCAACTTCGATTTTCAATAGTCAGTATAAACGCAACTATATTATATTTAGTCAATTTGTCGAACAATAAAACATAGTAATAATGAGTCATAAGCCAACCAATTCGTCGGTTAACAGCGAGAAAGGGCAGTCAGTGAGTAAAAGAAAATTTACAATAATATTACAGATGTAGATTGAAACCAAAATTCCACGTAAGAACGATAACAATAACGTTTCAGTTACTAACGAAGAAATTTCTAAAAAGAGAAAGTA